GCTTTTCTAAAAACGATGATATATAAATATAAAGTAATGGGTATTTTAATTTTATATTTAAATGTTATAAATTGTGGAGGCGAAGGAAACTTTGCAAACTCTTTGTTATAGTTAAAAATTTTCATATTAATAATAGTCAATGAGAAATAGAATCATAGACAATAACTTCTTTTTTAGAAATCTTAAGTACATAAGTAGTACCTAAATATTTTTTTTGCACAAATATCCATCTAGGATACGTTACAGATTAATATTAGGTATGTGTTAGAAGTTCAAACGAGTAGGTGGAGTAAGATGGTAAGCGGAAACCCAAAAAAAGTTTTGTCCACTATTCTGATTAGTTGTTTATCAACTATTTAGGTAGGTACTCTATATCAATAATTTTAACATTATCGACTTTCCCATTATAGTATTGAATAATACAACGACTTTTAATATAAAAGTAGGTATTCTGTGTAATATTCGATCGTAATACTAAAAATGAGTGCTTCATAGCGGTTGGGAGTAGTGTATGTAAATTTATTTTGGTTGTTGTTGTTTCCTTTTGATGTAGGTGACTTACCTGGGGAATTAGGACTTTTCCGGTTTTGATTATCCAATATATGTTGTCAGTTGAAGTGTTCTGCATGTTTTTAGTTATGACAATTTTTAATGATATCGCTAGATCATTTGGGCTACTCTGTATATTATTGCATGCGGAGGACTGGCTGTTGATAAGCAGGTTATTCTTGGGCGGCATTTCGCCACGATGTTATCTACGGTACCCGAGTCGCGTACGAGTACGGTGCCTGGAACCGTGTGCTTTATAGATAATCGATAAAATTAGCTTTATCACTTATTTGACTGTGTTTATTTTCACTTACAGCTGATTTAAATGAAAGTTTTATGTAAATTCGTGTATTGATTTCTTTAAGATTTAAATCTAAGTTAGAATAAAATCGATAACGAATTACACTAGATAGTGTATGCATGGCGCGGAGCAGATTACACCGATGTGAATTATTACGTTGATCGCGGTGAACAGTGAAGTATATTTAAAGTATATTTTAATTAATAACTGGTAGATATTTATTTTTCAAATCAAGCTTTAAAGGATATTGATTAATTCAGAATATAACATATATCTAACACTCAAATTATTACATTAATGCCTAATATAATAGGTATACATTACCCAATCGCATTCGTACACGTAAAGAATAAGTACACAGAATAAACACGTAAACACGGCTTACCTAGATTATTCTGTACCATATAGTGATGTATATTGTAAAGTATAATATTATATAATATTAGATTAATATGTATAAATTAATTTGATATATACAAATTTGATTTTCGTACACATTTTTTTTTTTATACATATATATTTTCATAAAATATTTTTAAAGAATAATAATGCGCAATCTCAAATTCTCTTGACCTGCCAAAAAGAGTGTATACGATTCTTGTGATTAAAAATATATATAATAATATTATAATAAACCTTTATAACAGTGTAGGTAACATTGGTTGTCGATCGAAAATACATAAAATATATTTATTAATAGAGGATTTAATATTAAACGTTAATTTTCAATTTTTATTTCATAACTAAATTATCATGGCTCATAAATAAACATAAATGTTTATAAAGACTTCATTAAGTGTTTGATTAAGTCCCTAATCTAATTAGAACGTAAATTACCAAAACAAAACCATTCTTATAGCGGAAAGGTTAGGTTAGAAAGAATACTCTAGAACGGGAACATACTTAATCAACCCGTTCACAACACTGTATAGAGACAGAACTGGTCCGGACCGGAATGGATCAGACTGGACTGCAGGGCTTAATTATATATAAATACATATAATTTTAAGTTCAAACCGAAAAAAAAATTGTATAACTTGACAAATACAGTAAAAAAGTATACTAATTAGAACTTTCAGGATATAATAATTTTATAGTTAAAATTTCAATAAATAATATAAAAAAAATAAAACTTAATTACTTTCTGTTACTTCTCAATGTTTTATCGCATACGGCATACCTGTTTTTAATAAATTTTAACTCATATGTTAATATTGATATAAACATAATATATGCACATAATAATTAACACCTTTAAATTCTCCTACCGACTCTGCAGTAGTAGTAGTAATCAAGTACACAGTCACACGTTAAATACAAATTGTAAATACACATTAATAATTAATATGGAAAACTGAAAGGTTCATATTCTTATTATCGTGTTCATGGTTTCATACTTCATTTTATAATTTACTATAAATATTGTATAATAATACCATGTTAGATAGTAGACACCAAGACGCTATAGACGGTACAATTTCCTTGATGACGATGTACTATAATGTTATTTTTGGTCAACGTTGACGGCGCGACGGTTCTGAGAAATAACCAATGATGACATAATATTATAATATAGATCAGTGGTTCCCAACCTGGGGGGCGCCCCCCCTTGGGGGGCGTTACACATCGCTGGGGAGGCGCAAGCAGTCATCACAAAGTAAAATTTTAATTTTATTATACATTCTATTATTTATATTTTTTACTAATTTATTATAATAATTACTCACGTCAATTTATAATTCCACTATAACATTATATTATTTACAATTATTTATATTTTATAATTACTATCATCAATAAAAAAGTAGTCTTTCCGAATATTATATAGTTTATTTGTAAAATGTAAAGTAAACAAAAAAATTATAATTTTTTCAATTTATAGGTGTGGAGGGGGGGTGTAAGATTTTTGAAAATCTATAAAGGGGGCGTAGAATAAATAAGGTTGGGAACCACTGATATAGATGTACCTAGACCAGTAGCACAAAATAGATGAAAGCATAATAATTTCACGTTCTGTGCTATTATTTACCTACCTACTGGTTTTATTAAAATACTTTAAGAATTATATCAATATATTTTAGTTACCTATTGCATTTATATTTCGTAATCGTATCATATAAAAGTAATATAGGTATAGATATGTTTTATAAGAATTGACGGCAGTGATCGGCACTGAATAGTATTGAATACACGGCGTGGAATTCCCTATTTCGTTTATTTAAATTTATGTACCTATTAAAAATTGTAATTACCCAATTTAAAAATACATAATCTCTTTTTTTCGCGTATAAAATTCTAGTTACACCAACATTGATTAAATAAAACCAGACCGGATCGGAATGATCGGATCAGACTGTGATTCTAAAAAAGTATACAGAAAAAGGATCGATTTAATACTTTTAAATCTCGGATCGATCTGAACCGGATCAATGTATATATTACTTACGGAAAAAAAAAACCGTTGATATTGGAAATCAGATCGAATTGGACCAGATTTCTATGGGGCTTAATGTAAAAAGATCGATTTTGACGAGATCACGGTGAGGTTCAGACCGGACCACGCAGAGCTCTAGCATACACATACACGCCTCTCCCTTCTTTTCGTATAATCCGGGTTAGACGCCCGACACCGTTCAGTCAATAATTGCAATATCAGTCAGCTCATTATCATAATGATATATTTATTTTCTTCCCTCTGCAATGTCTCCGTTATCCGCCGACTTTTTCGCGTCGTTGGTGAATAAATAAAATTATACGACACAAAGATCATTATTTTTTCATGCGCGACCTTATCATGATGTGGGAGTTAGCAGCAGGACCTGTCGTTGCATCCTCGGGCGATATGTGGAATAAATGCTTGAATGTACGGTAACGTATTATGTATTATGAAATGCATCATTATTCATAATTATTCTTAATGATTTTCACCATTGGGTAATCGTTTTATTTACGTATAAATATATATTACTATTCTTATTATTATTGTCAATATTCCCTGTAACCGAGGTCCATGTCTCGGTAACCGCTAGAGAAACCAATGAATGCCAATAAACTTATGTTTATGATACTTAATTCATCAGACGCAAGACGGTTTTTGTATCGTCGTCGGTACTATTGTCCCTCAAGGTATTTTATTTTTTTTTTGGCCCTATACGCCCATCCAAACTTTTTCGGTGATAATTTACCTGTTTTTATTTAATATACTCAATTTTCTATTTGTACCTTCTTGTGAAATGAGTTTTGGTATTATTAAAAAATTCTGTAAGCTCTGGTTTTACAACCTCGCTTTGGGTTGGCGACCCTTAAAAAATTCTATCCGCAATAATACTTCATACTTAACCTGAGGTCTATATGCGCGTGAGATGTCATACTATTCATACTCTATTGCTATATTATTTTATATCAAATTTTTAATGCACAAATAGTTTTTAACTTCCAAAACTAATTGTTACTTATCAAACATTATTGCAGAGTTAGAAAAATTTAATTTCTTACACTGATCAAAATAATAAAATAAAATAATTTTTTCAAATTTTAGTAAAATCATTATATTTTAAATACGTTTTTCTACAATTCGATAACTATCGTTGCATAAAATTTGATCGATTATATTGAAATATATGTCGTGTGTGCTATGATGCACATCCGGTTTGGTATCGGGTAATGTAACGACTTTTACATTTTGCGATCGTTTTTTGACGGTTGTGGAATTAGTCTATTATTTGATTATAATAGGTACTGCATTTTCCATTAAATTATCTTTTATTTTGGATGCTATGGTTTGATAACTGATTGGTTACAGGAATTAATCATCGAAAAAATGCTTATAATTTGATCTTAGTTTAATAATAAATACTGATAATCATCTATCGGAAAGACAAATCGAAAGCGATTTAAAGTCGAGAAGGATTTTAAATTCTGAGTGATCTATTACAAAAGTATTGACATAAAAATTATTTTGTCTTCGGCTAGACGATAGTATATGCATTTATAGACATTTGGTACATTATTATAAAATGTACTTATCCGAGGAAAGCACAGAGCGTTGCGTGCGCTCGGCACGCCACCGGTAACCAGTGGCGGCTGTGGCTTCGGTAACGACTTCAAATTCGGCCGAAAGCAGCGGCACGAGCAGTTCGTCTAACGTGGTCATACAGCACGGTCGGGGTCTGTCACGACCTACTCGACATACGTAAATACGTCATTTGTTTTAATATAGCACACGATTTAAGATTTTATATAATATATCGGTACATTATCATCACCATCTCCGCCATGGTAGTGTCGTAAATATACATTAATATTGTACTGTGCGTGGTTTTTTGTCCATCAAAATTGGAAAACACTCACCTTGTGTAAAACTACTGCAACAGTCTTTATACTACTTTCGACCCGCGGATGACGTATCGTTATCAAACTCATTGTCGAATATCCGGATACTGCTTTGTAAGGTAAGTGATTTCTACTACCCTCCCCAATTCTACAAACATAATATATTAAAAATATTATGAACATTTAATATTATAATCAGGAGCGTCGTTTAATAGTTTTTTGTGGAATGTAAAAAAGAAATTACCAAGTCAACCATGATCAAAATCGCCCGCAATAGATAAATATTTTGAGATTTAAAAATCATAACTAAACATAAGAAAATTTTAATAATTGATTATTTTTTCTTTAATAAAAGGTAGGTGCAAATGTATACACACAATGCAAATAGATTATTATTTTTTCAATTTAAAATGATGAAACAAAAGGGAATTTGGAAGATACTTTGTATTAAAGACTGTTACATTAAAATACATACTTAAAAATATGTTCAGTAAATATATCTTCAGCTAATAGGAGAATTTAAATTTAAAAGTTATCACTTTAATCATTAGCATTTTTTGAAATACGTTATTTTCACGAGTTAAAATTGCGCTTATCAATTTCAATATAAAGGTCTGTAAAATATAAAGATCATCTAGCGGAATGCACGCCCTTGCATTTCACAGATAATGCTTTTGATATTATCATCACCACTATACTTACTAATCGCCTTGGAAATAGTTTCTTTTTGTTTTGGGCTAATTAGGTAAGTGGTATTTTAATGTTAATATCTAAATATATTTTTTATTACAATATTATGCTATTTTCTAGCACTAGTGGCAAATGTTTTTGCTAAGAGTTGAGGTAATTTAGTCTTGAAAGTTAAAATCATATTTTGCTATTATAAAGCGTTTTATTAAATGAAGTATTTTTTTATTTATGATTTTTCATTTGTTGCAAGTTTAACTCATCTGGTACAATGCGTCTTGTAGATACATAGTATTTTAATGCGGTCGACTATTTCAAAGGGATTATTGGGCGCGAAAAAATGTAGAGACATGCGCTGTTGCCTGGTATCTTTGAAATACCTACACGTGATTTTATAAAACTATATTTTATCGTTATTGACATGATATGGGTTCGCATGGAACACGTGAAAACTATTTGAATCAACTTTACCTATTATATGGCTATATAGTCTGAGTAAAAAAGGACATAGTTTTGAAGTATATTTTGACTATGAAATACAACATTAATGAAATTAAATAAGTCTTGAATTCGATTTTTTTTTAAATATAATTTTTAGAAAATATTGTATAATAAATGCTATTAGTGTTACACCTGAATAAGCACTAGCTATGAGAACCGTTGTTCGAGTGTAGAATAAAGATCGCAGAGCCTTTGTAATGGAGGACACATACTACAATACAGTGCATATAATATTATGGTGATGAGGTGTAGACACAGTTAGACCTAAGGCTCAGTATAGCCCTGTATAAAGTGCACAACAAGTACTTATGGGTTTAAAATTTAAATAACTAAAACAAAATCGTCTACTTTATAGAGATAAAATATATCATTGGTAACATTTTTTAAAAACGTATTTTATAATAAAGAGTAATCCTATTGATAAATGACTATATGGTACACAATATAACTTACTGATATTGATATAAAATTAAATTTATCTATACATTTTATGAAATTCTAGAGAAACGAAATCAAGTTAACAATATAAATATTTTACTAGATGAACAGTCGAACATTATGTTATAAATATCGAGTTTTATGACATTTAATTTTAAAACCTTAGATAGTTAGATGTATATGGAGTATGGACATATGATTTTTTTAAAAATTATTATTATATTTTATAGTTGATTCATTAATTAAGGAGTTAATTGAATGATATTGTATCACTGAAATAAACTATAAGTATTTTTTAAATACCATGTATGTATATTTCCAAATTAGCTTTTCAACTCTTTATTACTTTACTCAAGGGTCTATGAGCATTTTATTCATTCTACTTTTACAGTTTCAGAAATAACAGCATATAATATTATGGAGATGTAGAGATATTATTTATACATATGTTGGTATTGGCTATAGGTAACGATTATAAATGCATACACTCATCTTGAAAGTTAAAAACCAATGTAAAAACGATATTAATATTGCATTTGTGTATTTATTCATATGAGACGTTTAGTAAGTATAGAAACGCTAATTCTAACGATAATACAACAGGTTGTTTTAATACTGAAATAAAGCTAAGAGTATAGAATTACATATAAAATTGTTGGTATATACTTGAGTATTTAAATTCATACGACTTTATTTTATTAATATTAAATACTATTATGATTGGTTTAAATTTTCACATGTGCACACATTTAATGTTTATATTATATCATGAACGAACTGAGTTTTGAAATAAAAAAACTAATATTATATTAAAATTATAGTAAAATATTCTGTAATAAAGTGTTTTAAAAAAAATAACCATTACTTTTTAAGAGTAGTGAGAAAATAATAAATTATTTACGGAATTGTAGATTTTTTTTTTAGGTTTTTATTGTTGCTTACATCTGTTTATTTTTAAAACGGAACACTCAAAATAAAGCAGTCATGAACAGAATCTTATAAAATAAGAATTTATTTCGTACTGAATTTTATCTATTTAGAAAACGCCTTCAGACTTTAATGCAAATTTTAAGACCATAATTTTATTGTTTCTTACCGCGACAATGCATACAAATTTAGTTAATTTTGAAATATAATAAAGAATCGTAGCTTTACTTACAAGTATATTATAGTATTATACTTTGAGTATACATATTAAGTGTTTAAGTACAATACGAGTATTATGTTTTGAAGCGAAACACAACCATAAAAAAAACTTTTTTTTAATAAACTATTTAATACCATTATCATATTTTAAAACATAAAATTTACAATTGTATATTTACTCAAGTTGTTTTAATGGTTCTTCTGAACAATTATCTATACGAAACAAATATTTATAAACTAATATATTTTACAAGATATTTCAACTGGCGAGAACTTAACTTAAATATGTATCTACATTATATATAATCAATATATAATTATTTAACCTATTTACTTTGAACGTTGTATTCTTCCATCTTTTTGGTTTAAGTCTAAGCAAAATGAAAGTATATAATATGAAAAAAAAATATTTCATTTCTGAAATAAATTAAATCATTTATTAACATTTACTCACTGTTTATATTGTTTAATTACGAAATGTAAACAAATTACTTTTCATTATTCATCAAAGTCTATAACGATTAAATAGCATTATCGATTTTAAATAAAATTTAATAAATATTTCAGTGTAAGGAAATCAATTTTTACGCTTAAGGATATTTCAAACTTCTGAAGCATTAAAATATAAAGTAAACGTTTGTTTAAGTTTTTTTTTTTTTTTTTTTTAGATTGAAAATAGCCATAATAGCGTTACATTTTATTTACGTAAAATCATCCCTCGAGTCTAAGTTAGCGAGAAAAGCAAGATAAAGATAACTATATAAATGTTAATAACTGTTTTGGAGGATAGCTTGTAGTATTTTTCTCAGTGTCTGTTTGCTTCTTTATATATATGTTGTAGCGTGTAGTATAACATAGGTAATATAATTTCATTAGACTCGAAATGTATATTTAACTTAAAATTTAATGTTCATAACGAAAGAGATGATAAATCAGATGATGAAAAATTTTAAAAATAATATTCAGTTGTTTCTTAATATTAATTTTTTAAATTTCTTTGAGCTATCAAAATATTCAGTCATTATTTTTTCAAAAATTGTTTGAGATATTAATTATATATTTATTTTTGTTTTAACTAGCAAATTTATTACGCTATATAATATATTTTAAGTAAATCTAACAGTTATCTGTGAGTCAGAGTACTAGGAAACGATAAGAGAAATTATACAGAAATTCTTTGAACATCGCTTTTTCTGTTAAAAATCACATCTCCTCAGTACTATTATATCATCATCTACACGAATCTGATCTCACTGTCACTTATTTGTAATGTACTATATTATTCTGTCATAAGAATATAAGATAACTAAAGAAAAATGTATGTTAAAAATGTAAATAGTAATTGAATAGTTATACTTACACTGTTACACTGTAGTTGAAGTTTAAAATATCAAAAAAAAAAAAAAAAAATGGTAAAATGAATAAATTTAAAATATAATTCTATAAGGTATAATTTATTATTATTTCTTAATATACAAAATGATTCACCAAGTTTATTCACCTCCATTTTAACCTACAATAATGTAGTTGTTTAAAATAAAATTTGATTGTTAAAATTTTAAAGTATACTTAAAAATCATATTTTAAAATTCTTAATATTTTTTTATCCTACATAGAGTGACCTGTACAAATATAAACTTTAATTTTTCAAATGAAAACTTCCCTTTTATTTGTGAATTATTTTTGAATAATTTTTCTGCAAATATTGACGCATCAAAATTAAAATTAAAATAAATAGTTGTTGATTTATTTAATTTTGTTTATCAAGGATAATAGATTTGGAAAATATGAGAGCTATTGGCTGTGATAATATAAATATATAAATATTATTTTTAATTTATAAAAATAGTCCATGTATAATAAATACTAAATTTGATTAGTTATCAATTTTATATTGCTGTAAAACTATTTTGAAAGATTATTATTTTTATAGTATAAACATTTAAATATCTAAAAAACTATTCGTTCGTATTTTGAATTAGGAACGTCAACATTTATAGAACAATTATTTCTTAAATAAAGTAGAGTAGACAAGTCGTCATTTGAAAATCGAAAGTTTATATATTCACAGGTCATTTTTTTAAGTATTACAAAACTCTTAACAATTTGAAAATATGGTCTTGAAATGTAATTAAAAATTCTAAAGATTAAGATCTGAATACATTTATTAACAAATGAAAAAACAGAAGTGTGCATGCTTGGTGAATTACTCTGTATACATGTATACTGTTGCATACTACGTTATATTATTGTACGCTTTAGACGACTTGTGAACAAAACTGTTTATCCGTAAACATTATGATATAAAGTTTAACATAGAAGAGATTTTGTGAGTTTTTTTTAGAGG